ATGGGCCCGCCTCCTCGATTCACTCGCGCGGCAGCCTGCGCCCCACCACCGCGGCCGCCCTGGGAGCCGGCCCTGCCGCGGCCACGGCCCCCACCGCGGCCTCCTCGCTGGCTCCGGTTCAGTTTAATGATGTCGTCCAAAGACATATCCATCTTGTCGGCCATGGCGGGCGCGGAATCAGGCCTCGGATCGAGCCCGCGCGTCAGCACGTCGGGGCGTCACTTCCGGCGATAGCGCGGTCTTCCGGCGTCGAGAGTCTCGAACTACACCCTATTGGCTGAGGTGCACGAAGGGCGAGGGAACGCAAGCGCGATACGCGAGGAGCGCGGTGGACGCTGCGTTTGGAAGCGCCAGCTGCCGAGCGGTCGTTTTTGTACCTTCCCGCGCGTAGGGCGGTGCAGCCGACGTAAGGGCGGTGCAGCCCTTACCGTAAGGGCGGTGCAGCCCTTACCGTAAGGGCGGGTCAGAGCGTGATTAGGCGGTGCAGTACTAGGGCGGGAGGTGGGCAGGGCTCAAGAGCTCCTCCCTGTCCCCCGGTTGGGTGGGTGAAGCCTGGGGTCTGGAACTGGGCGGTCGCTTCCGCTACGCCTTCTCCTCCCTGGTTGCTGGTTGGCCGTGCGGCTAGCGAGCTGAGGATTTTGGTGTCGGTTCGTGTTTTCCCTGAGGCGAAGGCGAAGGCTCCTAGCAAGCTGTAGTCTGGTTTCCATCAGTAACTTTCCAAGTTAGTGACTGTCATTTTGCTAGGTGTATTTTTTCAAAATCACTATCTAAACCAGTGTTTTGTGCTTGTACTGCCAGCTACTCGGGAGGCCACGGCAGGAGGATTTCAAGTTCGAGGCCAGTTTGGCCAATTTAGCGAGACCTTGTCTCAGAAAATAAGATGAAAAAGGCCTGAGGTGCAGTTCAGTGGTAGAGTACTTCCCAACTTACTCCAGTATGCTCCTAAGGTCGATTGCGCGCGCGCGCGCGCGCGCGTGTGTGTGTGTGTGTGTGCGCGCGCGCGCGCGGGGTTAGGGTAGGGGGTTGTACGTGATGCATTTTGGCAACTTTTTTTTTTGTTTTTGTTTTTTGTTTTTCTCCGGTACCGGGAACCGAACTCATGACCTTGCGCTTGCCAGGCAGGCGCTTTGCCACTGAGCTAAATCCCCAGCCC